ACCAAGATGCGGACGACGTATGTAACACGGTCTATTATACTCGCCACGCTATATTCTTACGTCTATCGTCGGATTTTTATTCCTCGCCAACAGCCTTGAACGTGTCGCGCCACCATCGAAGGAATCAACTATTCCGCGCCATTCCGTTCTTTTATTATTATAATATTCCTAATGGCGTAACATTGTTCTCGATAACGCGAAATTTAAATATCGTTATCGCCCATACGCGAATACCACGGGGAAAAAATTCTTCCGTGACGAAGATGCGTTTAATCCTCGTGTCGATATACCAAAAGTTTTGCTCTTCGCAGATTTTTACGCGTATATCTTTATATCGAGATCGCTCGATTTTCCTCCACGAATCGTTTCGCATTCTCACACCGTGTTTGCCCATCCATCTTTTTCAGCAAAAAAAGATTAAAAAATGTCCGCCTAAAAATTTTAAATTGTAATTAAGCTACCAATCTTTACTTACTACTCGTCGCTTATCCTTTCTTACTTATCTTAATCGTCTTTGTTACTAATTTAACCGCGTTTAAACCGGTTTAAACATCATCGTCGATGTCGAACGTTCCGCTATAAATTCGATATCGGTATTCAAACATCGTTAAGTATATAACCGGATGAAAATCTTTATTCTTTCCCCGATTCCGATCGAAAGAATAAACATATTTTACGATGATTAGAATCACGCGTTCGATTCTAATAATATTCGAAATCGAAGGATCGAAATTATATCGGATAGATTCGAAATTAAAAGTAATTTGGTAAATAAGAAAAACGAGGGAATAATAAAATGTTGTGAATTATAACGCAATACACGATAATAATGTAGAAAGAGCGGCTCTTGGAGAATAGAGAATAATTAAAAAATAAATGGAGGATCGTGTGCTCTGTTCGCGGATAACGAACGAGAAGAAGTGGAAGAAGGGTTCCGCGCGAGAGAACGAGAGAAGAAACGTGAGCGCATCAGAATGTAATAGTAATTACAGCCGCAACGTTTATCCTGCGGTGGTGATCACATAGTTGGAAGGATTAGAAATGCAGAATAATTTAATCTTTGCGCTAATAAGTTCAAAAGACGATGATTCCCGTGTAACGTCAAAAATATTTAAATACGCGTGCTTTTAATCTCTATGGCAAATACGATTTACGACAAATACGCGGAATCCTGATTTTAGTTTTAGAATTTTCATTTGCAAATTTAAAGGAACCTGACGAATATAAAAATCGGCGAACGAATGTTAATTTTGACGATCGGACGATCTCGCTCCAAGGATTGGAAGATAATTTGACTACGATGGCGTAACTCGATCACGCGAAAGAAAATTTTCGAAAGGAGATTTAACTTTTGTAGGAGAAAACGAGCTCGTGAACAAGATGATAAATCATGGTAATCCGTTTTTTAATTAATTAAACATCGGAATAGCAGAAGAAGAAAACCATTGAATAACGTCGATCGATCGGTGCATTTTGAATTTTGCCCGCGTCTCGTAACGATATAAAGTTAAGCGAGCGGATATCGATCATCGAAGGACGACCTTTGACCGTGATTGACGGACATTCGTTACGTCCGCTATTCTGATGATATTCGTTTAAAATACTTCGAGTTGTAAAAAGAAGAAGAAATAATACGTTTGGTATCCTTGGACTTTCGATAATATTTACACGCAAGATCGGGTTAGGATGGAAAAGAGAGAAGAGAGCGATGCGCGGAGATAAAGAGACGAAAGAAGAGGAAGGAAGGAACGGAGATCGTGAGAGAGGGCGATCTGTGGAAGCCGCGCGGAGAAGATGGAGGTTGAGCGCGTTGGATCGCGAGCGAGAAGAGTCGTAAGACGAAATTAATAAGAGGAACGAGGTATGTAATATGGAAATGAGAGGAAAGACGGAGACCGACCGAGACATTAGGATGCACTTGTAACGATACACGCGAAGGACTCGCCGCGAGCCCACCGCGGTAACCCATGCCAGTGCCGCATTAATCTGATGCCTATCTGAATGAATCATAATTAATATCTTGGCCCATTAGCCGTCACAGTGTACCGCCGACTATACGTAATGCGCATACTTTCTCCGCGTATCTTTAATTACTTGTATTTTCTCGATAATATACCTCGCCACGAGATTATCTTATTCGGTTAACCAACCCATTTTTCCCTTTACCAGATTCTACATTCGAGTAGAAAATTCGAAATTCGTCGAATCTTCCTTCCGTACGAGACAATTTGTTATTATTATTATTATTATTATTTTCGTCTATTTTTCTTTTCTTTTCTTTTCTTTTTTTTTTTTCCCCTCCTCGCTACGCGAGGGACGATTTTATAAAGAAAATCCAGTTTTTAGACTTATTCTCAAGGTACGTTCGTCGTACTCACGTACGATCAAGCAATTTTCACGAAGAACGAAACAACGCGACGGGGCGTCACAATTCCTTTCCGTTGGTCGGAGAGATTCCAAACAGCTGGTGGACTTATGCACTGTGAAATACATAATGCGTCGCTGTATGAACTATCCAAGATGTGTGAAACGAATTTACCTCTTCGCGAAGCGATCATCAAACTTCTCCGTCCGCCTATAAACAGCAAATACAAATACAATAATCCTTGCGATAATCCTTGAAACGCGAATATAATTAATATAATTTCGATCCACTCCGTTTTGTTCTATCCGTGCGCGATTTTCTTCGATGGCTTATCGACGATCTTGAGAAATTTTACAAAAGATGATCTATATCTATATCGTATTAGTATTTTTGGTAAATGGATATAACGAATGAATTTAATAACGATCGAATGCGGTATAAACGTAAACAATTTCGAATATACACGAGAAAATATACGAGATACGGAGACGAGAGACAAAATATTTTTTTATAGGCTGTAAAGTGTGAGGGATTGAATCGGTATCCCTGGATATTTTGATTCACAACTTTCGTGACAGAAACGAGCTTTACCGGCAGTCACGTACGAAAACACGAACGATGCGCCGAGGTAAAAAGTAGGTAAGCGATCGAAGGGACGTTAGAGTAAACGATGCTGGCAGGTATCGAATACCCGGTTGATCGCTGTCTTCTTTTCCTTCTCGATCAATCTCGATTACCATCGATATACAAATGTAAAATGCAAAACTTACTAAGAGAGAGAGAGAGAGAGAGAGAGACTGTCGTCTCGAGTAAATAAAAATCGGATATTGATTAAAAAGATTTCTAAAGGATTTTATTAAAGAGAGAAAAAGATAAATATCTCGCGCAAGATTAAAAAAGATTAGCTCGCAAACTTGATTATTCCGATTTATATTATTGCGACGATAATAATTGGCAAAAAGAAAAAAGATAAGAAAAGCGTAGGTAGTAAAGATAGAAATGGAAGAAAAGAAAGGAGAGAGGAAAGAAGAGGAATAGAAAAGAGATATAAACGGACAAAGGAAGAAGGAAGAGAGAGCTCGGTAGAAACTGGCAAGTCCTCGACAGCTCGTTTCAAACATCTGTTCGCTCGCTGAGAGATCTCTTTCCTCCCAGTTCCTCGCGATCTCGCAAATTCATACGGCCTGTGACGCGAGCCAACATCGTACACGCCTTTGAATACACTCGTGTACTCGTGTGTGTGTGTGTGTGTGTGTGTGTGTGTGTGTATACGCGAATTTGTCCGCGATGCGCAGGGAAGGAAGGAAGGAAGGGCAGGCAGTGATCCAAAAATCAGAACCGTAACCAAACGGTACGCGGTAGATGGATAATGTAGATAGAGAAATAGTGGAAAAATGATTGGTCGAAAGTGCAAGAAGCGCGGAATGGAAATAACCGCGATCTCCAAAACTGTATAAAGCGGAAAGACCGTGAGAAATTGTTTTAGCACGGTGAACTGGCAACTGGTGTGCGCGTCAAATTCCGAGAAGCGTTCTTGGAAACGGTATAAACGCGTTGAGTTTTTTTCATCCACGGCTCAATCATGAGCGTTGCGTCGAAACGGCGAACGAGCGTAAAGTTGCGCGCCATTAGAAACCCGCGATTCGGTATATGGAGGACAAATGGTCGCGGAACAAACGTCTCGTCCTACATTTGGCGGCCTACAGCCGACAGATGCGGTGACAAGCGAGAATCACCTTAAAGGCGTCGCGCTCCACAGATTGCACGGGCCACTGATTGATGCGAGCGAACAACAATCTCAGCCAGTTTCTCTATTCATCTTCTTCTTGCGCTCGATGCATTAGCGACAATGCTAACCTGCATTAAGCGCCACTACCGCGCTTACGCGTACTCCTTTCCTCCTCTTTCTAACCTATCTTTTCCTTTCCCACCATTTTTCTCATTTTCAACACTTACTTATGCCCTTGAATATTAAAGCGAATCTTGTTGATAGCAAGCTTGATAACTCGCTTCGTACGTTTAAACGATAGGTTTTTACGTTTATTAGATTATTATCCGTGTAAATTCCGATCGAGATGATCTACTGCTCGAGTCCATTATTAACCATAATAAAGAAGGGTAAACGATCACGATCGAGATCGCGTTACGTACGCTTGCTTGAAAGAGTTCCCTTTAGCGCATCGTTGCACCTCGAATAAAAATTATTCTCTCCGATAATTTCCATATTCGAGCCGATAGTTTGACATTTGATCATGATCAACGTTTCACACACAGTTCAAAAGATACTCGTGACACCGAAATCATTAATATCTTGGCCGTTCTTACGTGTGGCCAACACCTACGCGATCAGCAGGGTTTCCGACGATCCATCCTACGAGTTGAGATTTGACAGGTTCGATAACCGCGGGACTCTATACGCGTGACACTGGATAGATAATTTTTGTAACGAAGCAAAAGAAAAAGGACGTAATAAAGATAGGTAGATTTATTTTATTTTATTAAGAAAAAATAAAATTAGCGATTAAAATATGTTCGGAATGGCAGATCGTCGGATCAATAAAATTATTAAAGTTTAAACGTTCGAAAAGTTAATGAAGAAGAAAATTTGTGTTGATTCGTAATTTGTACATTTCAGGGTCGCATGCCATTCATGCGTGCAATGAGCATGGAACAACGGTGGCAAGATCTAGCATCTCTTTTATCGCTACCTGGTGCACCAGAACATTTTCCACATACTCATCCTGGATACCCAGGGCACGGTATAAGCCACAGTCATTATGAAGCACAACGTAACGTGTTGCTTCACAATGCCACTCTGGCTCCACCGGTGGGTGATCTTAATTCGACGAGCCCTTACCACAATGTAGGTAAGTATTTTACGCAGAAAATTTCGACAACTCTGTTTAAATTATTACTCGATGAAATCAAAAATTAAAATCTTCCCGTGTCATCTGTGAAATATATTTTATTTTATCTTATGCGATGATATTATAATTTTTACTATTAATTATACGATTATAAAATTTAAAAAAAGTATAAAAAAAATATTATCGGCTGTTAAACCGTTTTGGAACTGAAATGTTAATTGATGCAGGTGGATCATCAAATTTGGGCTCGGCTGTAGCAACGTCGATGAATTTAACGAACAGTAGCGAACCGATGGGTGCGGAGAGTGGAGCAGCTTATAAATCCGAGCCGGCAGATATGATGTATTATCATACACCAACTTCCGATTCGATAAATCAAACTACCGATGGTTTTCTTTCGTCTCTTCTTAACGATGAGGATTTACATTTGATGGATATGGCTATGAATGACGGTATGTACAAACATTTTTACTTTAACGTATAATCGTCTACATGAATTGTCTAAAATTATAAAAGGATTCTTTTCGATAATTGATTTCTTTTTTTTTTTTTTGACAAATGATTAAAAAATATTCAAAATAGTTCGTCGTTACAACTTTTTATTATAAAAAGGAACGTACAAAACACTTAACATAATATTAGAGAGTACCGTTTTATAAAATAAAGTGTTGCGTCTTTACGTATAATAATTTCATGATTTGGTCTTAAAAGCTAATATTTGTACGATCGATACAATGAGATAAACTTGTATTCAAAAATACAATTGGAACGTTTTCGCAAATTGCGTATTATCTCTTAAAGTTAAACTCTTCGCATCAACAAAACTAACATTATATTATCTCATATGTAACTTATAGTTCTAAACAGGTTTACAATCCAGTCTATTTCATATAAATAAGTTATTAATTACTGTTTATTTAGATAAAAGAAAAGTTACTAGTATTATGTATTAATCTTGTTGGATTATTAACGTTAAATATATAAAAATATAATGAATAGAAAATTCTTTGTACCTCTGACTTAGAGCGAATAAAGAAACAAAGCTTTACTACCCTGTTTCTAAGAATAATATGATAAAACATACTTAGATTGGAAAAAATAAATTTTCTACCATTCCTCTTCCGGTTCTTGTGATACGGAATACGCTTCTTCCGTATATTCTTCCGCGAATGCTTCAGACTGTATACAAATATTATAATATATTTATATGTATATATATATATATATACACATATTATTTATTTTCTAATTATTATTATATATTATTTCAATTACAATATTAGAATGAAAAAAAAATATTAAAAATATACACATACCTCTCTAACATCTTCACCTCCAAATTTGCTTATACCTCTTCCAGGCATGAAATTCCTAGTCGCGTTTCCACCCATTAACCAATCTGGTACGGATTGATTTGCTTGCTTCAATATTCTGACGAGATCACCTCGTAATGGTGCATCTTCTTCGGGATCGAAGAAAGAAGTCGCTCGTCCTCGATTTCCTACGCGTCCAGTTCTTCCAATTCGATGAACGTACTCGTCAATCCCTTTTGGCAAATCGTAATTTATAACGTGCGAAACATTTTTAATGTCTAAACCTCTTGCAGCAACTGCCGTAGCTACTAAAATGGACATCCTTCCACTTTTAAAATCAGCTAATGCTTCTTCCCTTTGCCTCTGCAATCTATCGCCATGAATACTGGTAGTAGGATAATTATTCTCAGATAAGAAAACGGCAATAAAATCGGCTTTCTTTTTCATCTCAACGAATACTAGAGTGCCACCTAATGTACCCGAATCATTTTCTCTTTCTAATATTTCTTTGAGCAAGTCTTTTTTCTTATTTCTAGCAACTTCGTAAAAGTTTTGTTCCACGTCTGAACAAGCTCCACCTACGATACCAACTGCAAGGAACAAATAATTGTTTAAAAATCTTCTTGCCAAATGTTGCACTTCATCCGGGAAAGTGGCAGAAAACATTAATGTCTGCCTTTCGCCCAAAGGAACCATAGTCTCGTGATCCACCATCTTTTCGATACTAGGTAAAAATCCCATGTCTAACATACGGTCAGCTTCATCCAATACGAGAAACTGTACAGAAGAAAATCTTACTCTTCCTTTTTCTACAAAATCTAATAATCTTCCAGGCGTTGCTACAAGTATGTGGCAACCAGCGGAGAGCTTTCCCCTTTGATGCATAACAGATGTTCCACCATATGCAACTACAGTTTTCAAAATTGAATTGAGTGAAAATTTAACAATTTGTTGCCATATTTGTATGGTAAGTTCTCGAGTGGGCGACACGATGACAACTTGTGGTTCGCAATATGTCGAAGTTACAACCAAATCGACAGATCTCTCTAATAATGTATTTATAATAGGGACTGCGAATGCAGCGGTTTTTCCTGAACCAGTTTGGGCACAAGCCATTAAATCTCTACCATTCATAATAATTGGCAAAGCATGTTTCTGTACAGGAGTAGGTTTTTTATATCCAGACTTTTTTATATTGTCCAAAACAATATTTCTAAGACCAGCTGCCTCAAAACTTTCTATCGGTTCAGGCACATTCTCTCCGCTCACGTTAACCTGTATATTATCATATTTATCAAAATTAATGCCTATCTCGACACCATTTTCAAATAATGATTTTTCATCGCTAGGTAATTCTGGTGGGATATATTGTTCCTTAGGCTTTACTTCTTCGTCGTCATTATCTTCTCGAGCAGCAAATGTTTTTTTTCGTCTATCATTTCTATTATCCTGATTACCATAATCGTTATCCTTATAATCATTATTATCGTCACCATCTTTATTTCTATTATTAAATCCTGTTCTTCCACGATTACCTCCTCTTCCTTTAGATACTCCTTTACCATGACCTCTACCTCTACCTTTACCAGTTTCTTCAAAATCAGTGTTCTTATCGTTACATTGCCAATAATTTTCATCATTAAATTCACCATCATTTATATTTCCACTCTTGGAATTTTTTTTACCCACATGCCAATCATCGTTATTGTTGTTTTGTATTATAAATCCTCTTCCTTTTCCATAACTGCGTCCACCTTCGTCGAACTAATATAAAAATGAATATACGATTAATTTACTATTAATAATTATTTATTAAATGAAAAAAATTTACACTTACGTAAGATTGATCTTTTTCATTAGCGTAAGAAACAGTTTTGCCCCAGTCATCACCCATTATATTCTGTAACATATTTTTTATTTATAGTTTTGCAATATAAAGAATTTAAAAAAATTATACTATAATCAGCTTATGTATAATATATATAAAGCTTATAATATTCGATATAAAAATTTTAAGAAATATTATAAACAAAATTTCTTAGAGATATTACGAATAATAGAAGCGTTTCGTGTATATATATACATGTATATATCACATATTCACAACAACATTCACATATACTCATAATAACATTCATACATATTCATAATAAAGTATTGATTTTAAATTTATTAAAATTTTTATCTAGTACAATGATTATATTTACTTTAAAAATGGTTAAAAATTATCGAAACAATTATTAATGAACAATTTATAAAAAGTTTAATTCTAAACATACTAATATAAAAAACTGCCTCACAGAAAAATCGATATGAACTATAGAATATATTTCTTTTTACATAAATATCAACTACTTGCTTTGAAAATTTAACAAAAAGAAAAAATCTACAAAACAAAACAGTTTTGTTGACTTTTTTTCTTCTCTGACCCAATAATTTACCCCCCTCTTTAGTATTGCTTTGTTTGAATCCTTCAATGCAAAATATTTATTTGTGAAAATATAAAGCATTAATTGTTCACATAATATTGAACTTCATTTTATCCGATATTTTTTTGTTTAAATATATATAAGTGACATTCAATACTAATTAAATATATCCAATTTTAAAGCATAGTAAATATGACACGTGCATATCAGTAAAACAAAACATAATTACCGGCAAATATGGCTGATCAGTATTAACTATGAATAATTGTTACTTTAATTTGAAAAAAACTTACTTTTTGATTGTTGACGAAGAAAGATAAGCGAGGTTTATTTGAAAAAAATCGAACAAATCGATAATACAGATCGTCTTCCGCAACTGTCGAAAGACGAATGAGACCGCCCAACCGTAAGAGTAGAAACGCTGACAATGTTCAACCGTTGCCACTATGAACAAAGAGCTGACAGAGCAGCCAACTTAAAGGAAAAAAATTCTGGCGAATCAGCTATCGAGTATTGAATCAATGCGCATGCGTTTTCTGCACTGCGTTTCATTCCTTCAGATATGTAATAAGGTTTTAATGAACCTGTGCCTTTTTTGAATTGTATAATAATTTGAAATAATAAAATTTTTAATGATGAAAAATTATATTTATATTAAAAATTTATTAATAATTTATTTAAATGAAACAATCACATTAATGGACAAATTCAATTCAAAAAATTTTTTAAATAATAAAATTTCTAAAATAATGATTTAATTTTCATTTCACTTTTTACAATATTGTTCATTACATTAACAAACTCATGTTATTTCTATTAGCATAAGTCTTTTTATAAATCTTTTTTTTTAGTTGTAAATTATAAAGAAAATGTTTTTTCTTATTTATTTATTTATTTTTTTTTTTTTTACATAATTTATATTCAAATAAAATTAAGATAAAATTACTTTTGGATATTTCTTCAACAACGTTTCCAATACCAACATAATATCATTTATATTGGAATAAAAACTTAAAAGTACGTTATTCTTCGTTCAACTAAGCTTAAACCACTTGAAAATGTTTGTAAACGTTGCTTCAGATAAAAGCCATTAATATTCAAGGGCGAATTTTCTTTGTCTACAATGTGTCTTTCAATTCGGCGGTCAATTTCATATGTAATGTAATGTAATTTGTAGTTTACAATATTTAAATCATCACAATTGATTACAGAATTATAAAAAGTTATACATAAAATATATAATATGATTTTTCAATTAGATTTTATCTTTTTTATAATATACGTAATACAATCCTTTATTTTGATATTAATTTTATTTATTGATATATAATTGCACATATTTAATAATTATATATATATATATTATGTATATATAATAAAGTGTATATATTAAAGTGAATAATATTTTAATATCTTCTATAATAATAATATTATAGTTGATTTTCTATAAAAATTTTATTTATAAGTAAAATTATAAAAGATTTCTAAATTATCACATAAAATAATTATATCAAGTAATTATCAATTAAAAACTATAAATTTTTCTCATATTTTTTAAAATTAAGTTGAATCATTATTATTAATATATTGATACATTTATCTATATCTAAAACTTTAATATTTTTATGATATATATATATGTATATTTCTAAATATTTATAGAAATACAAATTTTAGAATCTTTTTTTATTGTATAGTTTAATATTTACAAATATTGCTATCTAATATTATTTTACTTTTTCTTAATCATTTTATGAAAACAATATAGCCTCAAAAAAGTTTCAATAAAATTCAATAAAATTTAATTTAATTCATCATAATTATTAATATAAGTTAGCATTATTATTATTGAATATATTTATATATTTAAAGTCTATATAGGTTATAAAATTCATTGACATGATAATTCTTCATATTATAATTCTTATAATTTTTTTTTCTTTTTTTTTTTTTTTTTTATTAAGTGATTATAACTTCGTTTAGAATAATAATCTATCTATTAATAATATAATTGCTAAAAAAAATTATCATTAAATTTTTTTTATTAGTTATTTAGTATATTTATTTATATGGTATATTACGTATAGTAAATATGTAAGTACATACATATATGTACATAAGTACATCTATATTTGTACTTTTTTTTTAATCAGTAGCAACAGTAGCACAGATATAAATAATACAGATAAATTATATATATAATCATTTTTTAAAAACTTCATTAATTTTTATTATAAAAAAAATATTAATTTTCTTAATTTTAATCTTCATTAAAAAAATAAATATATATATATATATATAGTATGGTTATTAAAGAAAAATAGTTGTTAATTTAATCAAATAATAATAAATAAAAAAACATTTATTATTCGTAAAATTTTTACTATTGTAATAAAAAAAAATATTGATTGATATAAATTAACGTAGTTCTTAATTAATTATTAATTAATTAGTAAAATAAAAACAATCATAAGTAACATTATAAAAGACATAATATCACCAGCTTTATAATGTTTAATTAATAGTTAATTAAAATTTGTTTAGGAAAAATTTAAATTAAAGTAATTTATAACTATTTATATTTTGTACAGATGGTTGTAAAAATGTTTGATTGAAAAAACTGTACTAAATTACACAGAAAAATACACATTCTTTACAACTCGATTGTCCTTTATTATATCTACTAGAAGTGACTATTGACACTATCCAGATGGCATACAGGCGATCCATGTATTCCATTGCGTCCTTGAATAGTAGTAAAATAAACTTTGAAACTGTTTTATATCATACCTTTTTCGAGTGTATAAAAAGACAATTTGTGTTAATATAATTTATATTTATAATTAATAATATCAATACAAAAAAAATCAAGCTTTTAAAAAGATATATAATAAATTTTTTGTCAATTAAAATGTTTAATTTTTCAAATTTATATGTTTTTATCTATTTTATATATATATATATTTTGCACAAATAAATAAATAACATTAAAATTATAATAAATAGAAAAAAAAAGAAAAAATTATAAAATATTGTAAAAATATAATTTGAGAGATTGCATATTGCTTATTGTTTTTGCATAAAAATCTATAGATAATAATTAATAATATAATAAAAATTAAATGTGAAAATAAATGTTAATTAATTTTATTAAATGATGGGAACAGTATTAATATAATGATTAATATAATATAAAATTATATTAATTATATTCATAGAATTCGATGAAACGATAAATTTTTACATTTGAAATATGTATCATATAACATTTGTATATTTAAACCAATGTTTCTTAATCTTTTCGAGTTAACAAAACATTTTAAAAATAATTGGTTTTTCATTTATCAAGATTACAATTTTTGTAAAATGAAAATTGATTATCCATTTGAAATAATGTAAGTAATTTGAAATAATGATATTTTGATATTTCTTCTCATTCAATTTGTTATGTACTTCAAAAAGAAAAGAAAAAAAATATCATATATAAAATTATTTATAATTATATATGTATGAATATATAGCATAGTAAGATATATGTATATGTAATTTTTATGATATACCTGAAATATTCTCGCGATACATTAATAATCGTCATAATCGTAGAAAAACATTTCTATGATTTAAATGAATTTTCATCATTTATTACTTATCAAATATTATATCCATATATATTATATTTTTGTATAATACACATCTGAATCGAAGAAATAATGATCATTAAATGTAATTACAGCCATGTATTATACAAATATTTGGGAAAAGTATATTTGAAATAGAAGAAAAAAACGATATCAATATCGAAATGTTCAATCTTGTACGGTATGAATGTTTACTCGAAACGTGATTTGCATGATTCGCTGCTACGATGAGTAATGAAAGAAGAAGGGGCTGCAACGATTATTACCATAGTAGAATTATCTATGGTTTAAGTTAGGACTCGAACGAGTTTCGCGGATACGTATGTATTATAGTATCGGTACATACATATATATATATATATATATACGGGAATGCGGTTGTATTATTCGCATATGTGTGTCACAAGCCGGCAAGTGACTCATTCCCTTCTTTTGCCATTGCATCTCGTCAGCCGATCGTAATAATAGAACGAAATTGATTCACTCGTTGTACCGGTGATTCCAAGTTAGATACTCTTCAGATAGAATAAAGGAACCCACTTGTCCGCGCATCCTTCACCAGTACTTCTTTTATTGTAAGCCGATTAAGCTCGAACGTTACTTCTTATGTACAATTGATAAATAGATAATTTAATCGAATTTCATTTGTTTTGACATTTAAAATTTAAGAGAGATAAATTTAAGTTTATCGAATTGTCCAAATTATTACTCGAACGTGTAGAACAAGCTTTAAACTTGTTCAAGTTATTTAAATAATAGAATTCGATTCAGAACTGATAATTAATAATATTTTTACGTCTAAATTAAATATTTTTCGAGAATGCACAATAAAAATGAATTTGGATAATTGTCGAATATATTAAGAAATTATATTGCATGATACTTTAATTATAATAAGAATAATTTAATATTTTATATTATTTAATATAATTATGCGATTAAAGTGTTCTATAATTTTAACGCTAACAATTTAAAGTATAGATAAATATAAATACATTATATTCGCAACTAAATTGATTATTATTAAAATAGAATCACAATACTGTTTCATGACTCAGTAAAATTTATTTATATTTCTTGTAAAAGACCAGTTATTCAAGGTCGAATAAATCATTTTGGTATACAATAGTAACTTGTAAATAAATTTTAGACTTTGATTTTCGCGATATTTCTTTTTTTGCCAGCATATATCGATCTTTTTATGATAAAATAATTTATAAAATAGTTAGAAAAAAATTTTCTAATTGTAGAAACTAAGTATTACATATACATATAATGTCCCGAATGACATCATTCTAGTCTCAATTCTGAGAGATCTTTGTTTATTTGAAGCATTTATACAGTGGTTATCAAATCTATATTAATTTAGAAATTATGTGTCGTATAAATACGTATGTATATCTAATCTTTTCAAAATATTTGCCATAATATGAAATATTATTAATTTGTTTATTGTTTTAAAAAAAAAAACCAATTGTACAAAACTTCTTATTGCTGAAAAAAAAATGACTGAAAATATTATTAGAATTATTTAATTTTTTGATGTCAAGAGAGTCATTCTTTAATCATTAAAACTTTATTGATTGAAAATAATGATATAATAGTGATTGAAGAAACAAATAAGAAGTAAGCAATTTGGGATAAAAAAATTTTTACAGGAATCGGGAAAGATTTTCCATAAAATTATAATTCGATCGAATAAGAAGGTAATTTTATTAATTTTTTCAGAATTCTTTTGGTTTTTAATATATATATGTATATATCGTATATTATGAATATTATTTTATGAGTATAAAAATACTCGTATTGTACAATAATTTATATACGATTATAAAGCGTAAATGCAATTA